TGACAACCAAAATTATTCATCAGAAGTTACAAAATCCCACTCTTCATCAATCAGTGCCCTCACTTCTAACTGCTGACACCCTCTGAGCCTGAGACTTTGAATTTTCATTGTAATTCAGACAACCTTATAATGAGGGCTTGTGTTTGATTTTTGACAACTTGAGCTTCATGTCTGCTTGGCAAAAGATCCTCTTCCAGGGCACACTTTTAGGCTGTTTATGTGCATCTGAAGCCAGTTAATTTTATCACAGGCTCATTCTTTTACTTTGTCTCTTTATCCCAGAATGCTAGAAGCAGCCAGCTAGCATCATTATGCTCCTCTCCTACCCCCACAAATTATCAAAAGCCTTATGCCTAGAATCACTAAATTCCTTGCTCCTCACAAGGGGTAAATATAGACCATCAAGTGTGTTTATCTCGATGACTTCTTTAAATACATGAGATCTTGTGGATAAAAATGAGGAAGGTCATTGTTTAATAATGATGCATTTGTGTGTCAGGTTAACAAGGAGGACTCAGTTGTGGGGGTCAGTTTTGTGTCAACTTGACACAAGCCAAAATGACCTGAGAAGAGGAAACTTCAGTTGAGAAAATGCCTCCATCAGATGAGCCTGTGGCCATGTCTCTGTGGAGTTTTCTTAATTGCTAATTGATAGAGTAGGGCCCAGACCACTGTGGGCAGTACCATCCCCGGGCAGGTGAGCCTATAATACATGAGAGCTAGCTCCGCAAGCCAGAGGAAGCAAGCCAGTCAGCAGCACTTCCCCATGACCTCTGCCTCAGTTCTTGCCTTGAGTTCCTGCCCCACCTTCCCTTCACTGTGTACCTTGAACTGTAAGATGAAATAACCCTTTCTTCCTCAAGTTGCTTTGGCCATGGGGCTTATCATAGCAATAGAAACCTAATGTTGGGAAGGAGGACAAAGAATAAGAAATGGTAACAAAAGGATTAAATATAATGAAAGTATATTATAAGCATGTGTGTAAGTGTCTTAATGAAGGCAACAAATACACTCTTTTTTTATTTTTTAAATTACACTCATCACTCAAGATATTCATTACTTACACTCATGATATTAATCACATTTGTGGTATTCATAGATTACATTCGCAGTATTCATTCAATTATATATATATATATATATGTATATGTATATATTTTATTTTATTTTAAATGTCGAATGTCATTTCTTGAAGGGGGTAGGAGGTTAAATACAGGCTTACAGCACAATGGGAGGACCCCAGAGGGCAGAAGTTCGCTACTGATGTTTTATAATCTTGCACCTAAGCTGTTAACGCCCATTATGCAGGATACACAGACAAGGAACTTCCCTTAAGCATTCAGGAGGGTGGAATCTGGCAGGGAATTAGCATAGGGAGGATATAAAGGTCAAGGTCCGCAAGCAAGGCAACAGTTACCCAAAATGGGGGCCGGGGCCCTGCAGGTCCCCCTTTTATTAAAAAATGAGCTTCTGACTTGGGTTGCATGGGACGTCAGCAGGTCACCTTACCCATCATGGAGATGCCTGCCCAGGCCACCAAATACACTCTTAAAAAGATGAACATTACTCTGTGTAAGACCTGTACTCAATCTTAAAATTATTAGTGTTGATCAGGAAGGTGTCCCTGTGAGGACTGTAAATGTCTTTAGAGGTAATGATAGTTGTAAACACCATAAGATCATGTGTATTTGAACAAAAAGGTATATTTCCCACTCAAACAAAGTCAAGTACAGATATTTCTAGTTCAATGGCTCTCTTCTGAACAACATCTACATAAGGTCTCCTTCTATCTCTTAGACCTGCCATGGCAAAAGGGAAAGCAGAGTACATGTCAATAATCACTCGGAGTCTTAGAACTAACAGGACAGGGCTCTACACTCCTACTTAGATGTAAATGTGACTGGAAAAATGTCTTCTAGCTGTGAATTTAGGAAGAAGAAAAGAGTATAATGGCTTTGAGTAGACTCTAAAATGGTCTTCAACAAAGATAGTGCAATCCAAGTCTGCTAGGAAAACAGACAGGCTAACAGACACATTCTGATGGAGTATACAGTAATGCCAGTGATAAAGATGAATGCAGGGCCTTGGAGATTTTGAAGGATGTAGAATTGTTTTCAAACTTTTGTCAGCTACTGGAATGATCTCAGAAATGTGCTTGAAACACAGTTTGTTGATGCATTATACACATGGCTCTCTTTTAATGTGAAAGCCAACGTTCCTAAGCCCCCCAAAGCAGGGTGTTGCTGGTAGCTTTGTTTTGAGAATGCAACTGGTGTGTGCTTACCAGAGTACAAATTCATCTGGAATTTGGATCACCCAGATTGAAGGGACTTTAGTAGCATTTATTCACACATTTGATCAACATTTAATGAATAATTCTGACCCAAAATCAATTTACATTTTAAAACATTTTAGAAATTACAATCTTTAAATCTCAATTTATAATTTTATAAGAATTCACATTCCTTGCAAGAGTTTCTTTCCAGGTTTTTTTTTTCCCCCTTGAGTCATTTTTTTCTTAGGAGAAAAAAAAAATTAACTTTTGGATGAGAGGAAATGCAGTTGAGGCTCACATGTGGAGACTGTGTGAGAAAAATTGACAGAATACAGCATTCCTTCAGCCCTAATCTAGACCAGCCTGCCTTTAGCAACAGGAGTAATTTGTCCACAGCACCACCTGGAAAGGCCAGGCATGCAGCTATCCTTACACTACCTATGGCTATAGGACCGTCGTTTGCCATCTTAATTTATATATTCCACCTGTGTGCTGATTCTGCTGCCTGCTGCCCTTAAGTGATTCTAATTAGAAAACACACAGGGGAATCCTTATGGGATTCCAAAGCTGCTAGGATCCCCTTTGATCTCCCATCTGAACCACCAAGGTTTATTGTTTCAATTTCTTCCCTCAGCGCTCTGGTTGACAATTATTGGTATTTTAGAGCCTGGAGATAGCAATGGGATGCCAGGCAGCCTAACAGTCGACAACAAGCACTTTGCCAGGGAGGGGGAAACCCGCTCCCAAAGAAAAGCAAAAGATACCATCGTGCACTTTATAAGTAGCTGCCAGTTTATTAATGAGTGCGGGGTATGGTTAGAATTTTAAACATATTTCCAGCATTTTCAAAGAGGTAGATAACCGGATACAAACAAATGCAAACAGCACACTGAACCAACAGCTAGTTAAATTCTGCAAAATGCTAGGGTGACCCAAGGAATGTTTGGAGTGGCGAAAGAATTTGTCTTGAGGTTCCCAAAGTAAAGATTTAAGCTCTAAAGGTAGTCCGTTTCGTAGAAAGAGGTAGAAAAGAGAGGAGCGGCGTCCCGAAGAAAGTTTTATTTATTTAATTTCATTCACTTAAGGAGAATCTGAAGGATTTTATCCGACGATGGTCCTGGGGTCCGGATGAGAAATGGAAATGTGTGACAAGGGCTGTGGGAACGTGTGCTCACGCTTGACTAGGGCTGGGCTCACCGGGAGGGCAGGGCTGGGCTGGCGCTGGGGAGGAAGGAGGCGGAGGGAACACAGTATAAAAGTCTCCAGCTTAACAGAGCGCCTGCCACTCGGAGCCACTTCGAGAAGGCGGGAGCCAGAGCCACGCCAGCCTGACCCAGTTGACTCTAGCGTCGGAGGCGAGGATCCCGCTCTCTTCTGGTCCATTGCCTAGCCGTTCCGTTCGTCAGCGGCATCCCTTGCAAGGCATGAGTCGTTCGCCGGAGCCCGAGGCTGCAGCGCGGTCATGAGGCGGTGGCGCAGTAGCAGCGGCTGCGTTTCGGCAGCCCCCAAGTCCCCTCCAGGCGCGGCGCCCCCGGGATGAGCCCCCCAGACTCGAGCCTGCCAAGCTGAGAGTTACCCAGCGCCAGGCTGACATCCGAGCGCCTCCACTTCGCACACCGGGTCCCTTGCAGCCTCCCACGAGACACCTGCGCGCTCAAGTAGACGCGCGCGGACTGAATCCAACTCACCCATCTTCCTGACTCTCCAGGGTGCTGCGGGCGTGCGATCTTCGGTACCCAGTGATCAGCCAGCCCAGAGCCCATCAGCTAGTGTCAAGACCCTTCCGGACGGGAAGACACTGTGCCACTCCCTCAAGCTCGCCTGCTCAAAGCCAGGGCGCACAGTGGCGTGGTAGACACCTGGTTTGTCGGGCCCCTCAGTTCTCCACTCCTACAACTCCAGCTCGACTTTGCCCATAAACTTTTCTCAGGTGGCCTAGGCGCTCCCCACTCGCCCGCAGCCCCAAGCACTAGTGCGAGCAGAGGGCTAGCCCCTCCGCCACAGCGACCTCGGCAGCGGCACATTTAGCACAGCCGAGAAGGCGGACACAGGCGCCGGCGGGGCGCCCCCAGTTATCCTCAAACGGTGACAACCTCGGTGACCCGGAGCCAACCCATCCGGGGACTGGGCGTGCGGGGCTGCGAGGCTGGCGGCCCCGAGGAGCACGGAGTGAGGAAGGTGGTGGCTCTGAGGGTGAGTGGCTCAGGGCAGCAGGGGCGGGGGAGCCGTGAGTGGAGGTAACTTCGGGCGGCCGCTGAAGCCCTCCTCCTCCTTCTCCTCCACCTCTTGCCCGCGCTCCTCTGGCGGCGGTTCCCGCTCCAGCTGCGGCACCGCGGCCACATCTGGGGCTCCCATGTGCGCTCGGGGGCTCGGCTGCGTCCGCCCCGCCGCCGCCCCCGCATCTCCCTGCCCGCAGGGTGGACCCTGGCCTGGCCTGGGTCTCGGACAGCCCCGCGTCCCCATCGCCACCGCCGGACAGCGCCTGGGATTGCTCGGCCACCGGCTTGGACGTCCCCGGCCCCGCGGTGGCTCCGCTGTGGTGTGGGGGCGGCGGTGGCGGCTGCTCCTGTTCCCCGGGCCCCGCGCGCTCGGCC